GGTGGTGGTGGTCGTGGTCGTGGTCGTGGTCGTGGTCGTGGTCGTGGTCGTGGTCGTGGTCGTGGTCGTGGTCGTAGTAGTAGTAGTAGTAGTAGTAGTAGTAGTAGTAGTAGCTATTCTACTACTTCTTTACTACTACTACTACTACTACTACTACTACTACTACTTCTGCTTCTACTTCTACTTCTATTCCTTTCTGACCGTTAATGCCACTGACACTACTACTACTACTATTACTACTACTACTACTATTACTACTACTACTACTACTACTACTACTACTACTACTACTACTAGCGCTACTACCTCTACTACCTCTATAATCACGACTGCCCCACTACCAACACTACCACTACCCCTGCCGCTACCACTGCCACTACGACTACCACTACCACACTTACTTCTGCTACCTACTACTGCTACTATGCCACAACTCCGACGAGTAGGATGCTAGTTTCCGACTGTCTGCTGCCAGAGCCAAACACCCCCGGTTTGAAGCCCTGGTCCGTTGCCCCTGAACTCTCACCTTGAGCCCAAATCTTCTCAGGCTCTGGCGAGTTGCCGCCACTACCAGCGCCTCAACTACACACTTGGAGCAAAGCCACATTTCTTGCGCAAATTTACAGTGCGTATTTGCTAGTTTCCGAATGGCTTTTGCCAGAGCCCGTATTGAATTCTTGTCAAAACGCCTACTACTGCTACTACTACTACTACTACTACTACTACTACTACTACTAGGCGCACGTACCATATTTGACGCTGTGTTTCTTCTTGCGAATCACTACTTTTACACTGCCTTTTGCCACATTTGCACGACAGTTGGGGGAGCGTAATCAGTGTTACTACGACGACGACTACTTCTACTAGCTACTACTGCTACTGTTGCTATTGCTTCTGCGACTGCTACTAGTACGTGTACTAGGGTTCAGTGGCTTGTTTTGGCGTTCTACTAGGGGTTTGGGGGGGAGGTAATTACGTACATTGGAAGCACATCCCGAAGCAATGCAGGCCTAACCCTTAAACGCCTCCAAACCCCGAGTAGATTCCTCAACAGCGGTAGGGGCACATGGCGAGTGATAACAGCCAGATCATACCGGGCCCCGTGCCCGGCACCCCTCCGAAGGCACCATGAATGCTTGACGAGAGCTTATCATTCAACGAGGGTACGATCTTTTGAAACTTTGCCTCAAAAGGGGTCCTAAGTAATGACAATTGGATTTGGGGGAACACTGCGTAGGGCTGGGTGGATCAGATTGCTAGTTTTATGGGCTCCTACATTCCGTGAAGCTTGTCAAAAAAAAGGGCTCAAGACGCCTTAGACAGCAACTCCGCTGGGATCCTGTGGAAGACATACTCAACAAAAAAAGGGCTTCCATCGCGCAAGTACACACACATGTGTGTGTGTGTGTGTGAATGGAGCAAACATGTGCTCAAGACGGGCACACATGCTTGCCTGCATCGGTCCTAGACTCTCCCACGACTTGAGAAGCTGCACCAGCTCGAAGGCAGGGACGCATCATCCGCATGCCGCTACACCTTTATACCCGCACAACACACTACGGGTTGGCGCGCAAAGACTTGTATCACCGAAGATATCGCCATTGATACATTGCTGTCTTGCTTCATGATTCATCTGTTTAGTCAATCATTCCCTGGTCAGTCGTTGATCTGATTCTCTACGTAAGTATAATTATACTGTATTCAATCGCTCAATCGAGCATGTGCGAGAATCTGCATGTGCACAAAAGTATATGCTTATACAATGTATGCTGCATGCTGCTCGATGTACCGCTTTACGAAGTAAGTCAGCTACGCACTGCTTTATCAGACAATCGGCTCGTGGGCCGGAAAACCATATCCAGTCGCCCACAGAATGAAGACTATGCCACTGCGCTTTTGTTTGTAAACGAGCATATCATACCTAGGTGCATACATACAGACACACAGACAGACATACCTAGGTGCGTGGCGTACCTACCTAGCCGCCTACCTGCGTACGTATTAATTCACATATGTACCCATACAAGCATACGCGCATAAGTACATACATGCATACATATCTGCATACCTATATAATCCTACATACTTACATATATGTCTACCTGCCCACCTTGCGTGCATGCCTGCCTGCCTTTCCGTATGCCTGCCTCGACCGCCCGCCCACATACATGCATACATAACATGCACGCAGGTAGCATACACGACAAGATGTGCCGATAGCGAACGTCATGAGATGTGCAGAAAAAGACAAGAGCTTGCTGCGTCGACGATCTTTTTCCAACCCCCCCACTCTCGTTGGTGCCGGCTGCATGGCAGGAGAAGGCACGACCTGCACTGTCTCGCGGTCTTTACGAGGCTTGCAAGAATTCTTGTTCTGCGGTTCTGGGGAGCAAGGAGATAACTACTATGTCTTTCAGAGTTCTGCTGCAGAGTCGCCATGGGCCCTAGCCTGCTGCAGCTTCCAAGCGTGACCTAATCACAGACATGGTCATGTCATCGTTGCAAATCTCGCCGTCGCTACATTGCAGCATCGTGTTGAAGTTAGTTTTGGCCCGATGGGCTCATGCCGTGCCGAATCTAGGACAATGACAACCTACCGTCTACACTACTGTAGAAAGGTCTGTTTGGGAGTGTCATCCAGCACCCGAAGACCTTAACACCCATCGCCGCCCTGCAGACCCCACAAGCCCAAGCAAGCCACGTGTCATGCATGTACTGTACGGTTGTTCTCGCAGTATACTGCTGTACATGATAAAATCAGGGACTTAGTTCATGAGCTGCAGCCTCAACCCTGAAACCCATCACCCAAAAACCCAAGCCCTAAAAATGCGGCCCTAACCCCCGTAAAAGCTTCTTTCTCCACCCAGACTCTGCACCGAAACCCAAAAGCAAACCGTGAGAGGGAAAATGGTTCCGTTGCGCAGTCTTGCTGAAGCTTCGAACGGGTTTCCCCGAAGCCGGCAGGACAACTTCTGAAAGATGCAGACCGGACGGAAAAAGGATCGCAGCTTCTTGAAAAAGGCGGAAACAGCTCAACCAACGATTGGCGTTAAGGCGGCCGGTACATCGGAACTCGAGCCGATCAGAATATACTGGGGCATCAATCATAAGAACAGGCTTCTTACAAAGGGTTCATGTTCTTATTAGGGTCTCGTGGGGGAACAAGCTTCAGCACTTGGCTAGAGACTGCGGGCTCAGCAATTCGACAGAACATGCCCGACGCGCGAAACACCCGAAGGGTCGTAAGGACGGCACCTTCGCTGGCACATCATGTGCCTCATCGTCGGACAACAACAACCACGACCAAAACCACAACCACAACCACAACCAAGCAACCACAGCAGCAAGAAATACAACTACAACCACAGCTGCTACTACCAGTCCTGCTGCTACTGTTTCTGCTTCTGCTGCTGCTGCTGCTTCTACTACTACTCGTACTGCTACTGCTACTGCTACTGCTACTGCTACTGCTACTCGTCCAGCTACTGCTACTGCTACTGCTACTGCTACTGCTAATGCCACTACTACTACTACTACTACTACTACTACTACTACTACTTCTCCTCCTACTGCTACTATTACTACTACTACGACTACTACTACTACTACTACTACTACCATTTCTACTTCTACTTCTGCTACTGCTACTACTACTACTACTACTACTACTACTACTACAGTTACCGTTGCTACTGGTACTGGTACTGCTGCTGGTACTGGTACACGTACTAGTGCTAGCACTAGCTAGTACGAGTACTAATCGCAAAGGTGGTAGTAGTTGTTGTAGTTGCGGTAGTCGTTGTTGTTTCGATGGTGGTTATTGTGGTGGTTGTTGCGGCTGCGGTTGCGGTTGTGGCTGTGGGCTGCTGTTGCTGTTTCATGGTTGCTTCTTGCTGTTTGCTAGTTGCTGTTTGCTGTCTGCTGCTGGCAATGATGTTGGTGTGGGTTTTGTTGTTTGCGTTGCTGGTTGATGGTTGCTTCGTTTGATGTCCGCTGTTGGCAATGTGGTTGGTGCTGTTGATGTTGTTGGTGGTGCTGGTGTTGTTGTGGTCGCGTCGTTGTTGTGGTTGGTTGTTGTTGTTGTTGATGATGATGTTGCTGTGGTTGTTGTCCTTGCTGCTGCTTCTGCTGCCGCTGCTAGTCTTGGGGTGCTGGTGGTGGTCGTGGTTGTGCTGGTGCTGGTCCTGGCGCTGGTGCGTGCTGGTGCTGCTGCTTTTGCTGGTGCTGGTGCTGGTGGGGGTGTTGTCGTCGTTGCGAGGGCTGAAGTTTGTTGCTGCTGGGGTTGTGACTGTGCTTGCGGGGATTGTGGTTGTGGTCGTGGTTGTAGTTGTGGTTCTGGTGGACGTGGTTTTGGTGGGCGTGGTGGTGCTGGTGGTTGTCGCGGTGTTGTTGTTGGTGGTGATGTCGTTCTTGCGCTGCAGTTTGTTGCTGCTGCGGCGTGGTTGCGGTAGTGGTTGTTGCCAAGGTGCACATAGCTACTGCTACCACCGAGCACAAACCTATCATGAAGATTTATCTGGCATCTGTGGTGCTGGCATCTCTCTGCACCCTAATTTATTTGAAGATGAGCTGCAACATCTCCATCTTCATCTTTCGCACCACGGCCATCTTCCTTTGGCGACTTGATGAAGTTCTGGACCTGCGGATCAAGACGGACTGCGAAAGCAAGCGCGGTTCTATAGATACGGACCATGACCATGACTTTGGTCACCTCCGTGTCGCTGGATTTTAGCTCGAACATCACCAGCCCGTTTTGGCATCTTCACAACCCTGGTCTTTTTCTCCTAACCAAACACCGATGGCGCAACGGAAGAGAAGATTCATCGGTCATCAGTCATCAGCACAGTTCAAAAATCCGAAATCAAATCCCAAACCCGCAAACGATGAACAAGTCTGTCACACAATGCAGGCACTTCTGGCCTACACCGTTGGCAGCTTCGATTGCTGCTTTTGCGTTTGGGTTGCTTGAGCCTAAAGGCGGCAATAAGAATCAACGAATCAACAGACACAAAGCCCTGGCGAGCCGCACACCAGAGCTGAGGCTTCCAGAGAAGTTTGATCGATGAGTTTGAATGCGGAAAGGGGAAACAGTCGGGGGAGTCTGGATCTTTTCATGGTCACATTCCGCTTAGGATCATGTGTACAACTCGCTTCATGAAGGATCATCTTGTGGAACCACTTGAGCTTTCGTATGCCGCTTTGTGCAAAGAGTTGACAATCTACCTCGTCCAAGATGGACATGAGTTGCCTCCGTAGATAACACTACGATCATCTGCAATCCACGTTCAGATTTATGGAGGTCTTACAAGTTGGGGGGGGGGTCTGTTGCTACGCCACTGGCATGTGCATGTTTTGCCCAACAAACTGCAGCGACTGCGGGACGGAGCCAAGCCTAAAAACTCGGAGCCAGCTCGCCTTGGATGTGAGGCCAGAACTGCTATTAGCTACGCTTGTTAGAGATCGACGAAAAGCCTTCTTCTAGTAGCGCTAGTAATTCGAACAGTGGCTGCAGTTGTGCTTGAAGAGAGGAGGCGTATAAACTGGGACGGCAAGCTGGGCCGGATGACTGTTACCAATCGAGGGTCGCCGTGTCGACAGCTGATGAATGCTGGTCGCCCCTGAATGCTACGTGACTTCACGCATCGGCAGGGTCCAAGGCGTCCGGAATTTTCAAAAACCTCCAGGGGTGTGAAAGGCATCAGCCATGGGCGGAAACCTGCACCTTGTTGCGCCAGCTGAGCGGGCTAGCTCCGCGCCGTCGGCGGCCTCGCGCAGCGCTGTCGCGCGCGGGCCGTCAGGCGCAAAGCTGACCCTCCTACCTACCGGCTCTGTCCAAGCCAGAGCCAGTAGACGAGCCCCTCTCCCCGGTCGCAAAACTGTCCGTGGAGCTGTTGCTTTGCGCTCAGAGGCACAGTGGGCAGTCTCCAAAGACCGCCTGCAAATATGGGCTCCCTGGATCTGTCAACACAAGTGCGATGGTCAGTCAGATCCAGGTGCATCTAATTCTTGGCAGTTCTGGTGTACAAAACTACAATAAACCTTTTTAGAGCACGAGTCTTATCACAACCTCACACCCTTTACCCACCACTGCCGCAGGGACTTCTTGGCGGAGCTTCTACATCTGTACAGGCCAGCCGGCCCCAGGTTCTAGAGGCATGACTCGGACGAACAACGAAAATACAAATAATAACAACAACAATAAAAACAATAATAATGATAATAAGAATAATAAGAAGAATAATAATAAGAATAATAATAATAATCATCATCATCATCATAATAATAATAATAGCAATAGTAATAATAACAATAATACAAATAGCAATAATAATAATCATAATCATAATGATTCTACAAATGTCAAAGCTGGCTTCGGCAGGTTTGGCTTCCGCCCGGGTGATGTGGGGTGCGATGGGGAGGCCAAGAGCTGCAGGGAAACGACCACCAAAACCCGGAAGAAGAAATGGCCACGTGCCAAGACCCAGCCCATGACGGCCGTTAACCTAAGCTTAATGAGGGACGTGAAGCTTGAAAGCCGGTGGGTCGAAAAGGTGCCAGCGGAGTGTTCCTGATTTTTAAGTTCAGAACGTTAGTGTGGAAGAGTCTAACATGGTACGCTGAGACAGCGGAGAGTTCTTAGCCGCTGCTCAAGCTCTCCACCCAAGTCATGGCCTCGAAAATAAAAGCATCGGCAACAACTCTGCCAGACCAGTTGCGAATTTGGGTTGGCACGCCTGATGTTACCGAATCTTGCTTCGTGGCTGTAAGCAAAGAGAACTATCCAGGTCAGTGGAGTCGCAACGAGTGCCCAACATGTGCGACCACATGCAGCAATATTCCCGAGGACAAATCGCTTCTGTCGACATGAACGAACTCAGGGCCCTGTAGAGTCCAGAGTCCAGGGGCTTGGGAATTGAGCAGAATCTGGCAGTTGAGTGTCGACGGCTTCGTCAGCAAATGGAAAACATATTGGCAAACAGCAGCTGCAAGGAACAGCATCCTGATCAGACTTCCAGTCGTAACCCTTAAGCCTAGTTGAGACCTAGCAGCTGAGGAGCCCTGAAAGGAGCATCCAGACCATCAGGCCGATGCCTGCAGAGACTTTCAGAGCATTTTGGCGTCGGGGGCGCTTCGCTGATTTGTGGTTGTCATGCGGCTTACAGCTTGTAGATCTTTGAGGGGGCCAGGGGCCAGGGGAACGAAAGCTAGCCTATGCCTAGGCTGCACGGACGGCAAGCGAAGCAGAGCCCCTTGCTCCTAACGCAGATGGAAACGAAAGGCTCGCTGCGCTAGCTTTCGTGACTTCTCCAGGAAGGCTCAGGGGTTGTGAACCAAGTGCAAGCGTGAGCAGGACATTCTGTGCTACATTCGTGATCATCGGCGTGAGCTCCAACTGGTTGGGCTCAAGGTGTTCGGGAGTACGATGTTGGCTATGTATTTGTTTATTTATTTCACTTACATATACCCACCAGCAGCATGCAGATGTCGTTGTGCTGTGTAGGATGCTTGTCTTGGAATCTATCCTCTCATCCTCCCCCATTGCCCACTCTCAACCCCACCCCCTTCCGAAATCGTGGCCTCACTTCTCCTCGACACCGCCGGGTTGAAGACACCAAGCAAATTCAAACCTCATCAAGAGCAGCTTCCGTCTTGCAATTGGGCTTGGAATATCAGAACTCTGGATTGCTTCATCCATAACAACTCGCTGTACTGTTACAGAACGATGGCAAAAATAAACACGAGTACACACATACTAGATAGGACATAGTATATCATCGTGGGGCTCCACCTCCAAATCGTTTCATAAAGGACCTTCCCTCGCAAATGCCTCCATGCTTCGAGCTTGGAAACCTAAACGGAATCAACTGAAACGTTGAAGACGACCATGATTATGATTTTAGGCACGATGACCACGGCAGCGATAGTTCTCAGGACGATGGTGATAGCAGCAACAAGAAGTACGACAGCATCAAGCCGTGCAGCCGAAAATGACTTGGGACAGCCCAGAAGACCTGAGGCCAGCACTATGCAAGCTCCCCCACACCTCAGAAAGAGCATTTCTGTTTCTTGAAGTCTTCCTGCGTGTGTGCGCACCCTGTCGGCAGCAGTCGCCCTCACGCGCCGGAGACGAACTGGCAATCAGTACGGCCTGGGCTGCAAGCCCCCTGAACCTGTACACCGGAGACAAGGCAACGTCTGGAGTCTAATTTCCAAATGTCACAGAGTTGGAAAGCTGAAATTTCGAAGCATGCTAAGGAGAGATTCAATGTTCGAAGCCAGGAAAGTTCCATCGAAGGCTCTGAACCCTGATCCCACCCCCTTTCCCCTTCCCCCCAACACGTCTACGTGGTCCCCCCGTAAATCCGGCAGGATGCCATCTTGGTACCTGCAGCTGCCCATGGCTGCTGGGCCCTGCGACCACGCATCACATGGAAAGGCAGTAACGGGTTTAGGGTTGTAGGGTTTAGGGTTTAGGGTTGTCAGTAGGGTTTTGGGGTCTAGGGTTTCAACAGCAGATCTGCAGGGGATTCTTCCAATCAGGGGTTCCTGTTGTTGGTACTGTGCCCGATTCAGGGGTCCGTTTCGTTGATCCCACTAAACTATGTAGGACCATAGGGTCACTATACTTTCTGAAACTCACACCTGTCAAAGACTGCACTATCGGATGCGGACTACGATGTTGACAGTCGTGCCTCAAAAGTGCAGTGCATGTTGTTGGTTCTTGCGCGGATTGCGAAAGCCTCATGGTTCAATCAGATGAAAGCTTGATGCAGATACATGCGAGGACCCTGCTTACAAGATGTCACAACCGGCAGAAAGAATGTCTACATGTCCATCCCATGTCCCATTGTCGATGTGTCCCGCTAGTGCCTGCAATCACGGATCCCAGGGGGCGGAGGTCAAACGTGCGCCTTAGCTTGAGGCTTATCAGGCTTGGGAGTTTTGGGTTCAAGGCGGGCTTGAGGCGACATAAGACTTGGCTGAAGTCGTGAGGGGTGTGGGATCCCAGGCCTCCAGCATAGCGGAACTGCAGCATATGTTGGGGCTAATGGGCTTTGGAATTGGATGTTTGGATGAGGCCTCGAGGGGTGCAAGAACCTCCATGGGTTGGAGTTTTCCTTCTTGCCGCGATGGACAAACTGTCTTCTCCTGCCACACTGACTGTCCTTGGTTCGTTTTGGAAGCCTTTGGCGCTGCATCAAAGCAACGCATGAATAACTTGAGCAGGATAAAACGACTCGAGTGTTCTAAAGCACAAGAAACCTGGAATCGCACAGCTCGAGTCATGCAGCTTGCCCTGACAAAAAGCTTCAGGGTGTCTAGGAGTCTAGGCTTTAGGGGGTTTTGCGTTAAACATCTTAAAAGCGATCTTGAGCCAGGGCACAGGTCAAGGCTGTAGATGGCACTCAGGGACTCTTCTGACTCCCGAAATGCACCGCCAGCAATAAACAGTGAGTTAGCCTTGGCTTCAGAACCATTCCAGTGTTTGTCAAGATAACCGATGCTTTATGCAGCAGGGGGCTTAAGTATTCTCTGAATTTGCCATGTGCATCGTCTTCCTGATGCCGGAACATTTCCTAAGAAGATATCACCCGTGTTGTCTCGGCAGATCGGGCAAGGGAAATAGCGGATGCGAGAGGAGTGTTCGATTTATGAACCTCCCGCCCCAGAGTGAGACCAAGTGCTTTTCGGGGTTAGGGTCGCTGTAACAGTTTGCGCGCTTACAGCACGGAGACCTTTGCAGCTGTCATGCAGAATGGGTGCAGTGGTTGGAGGGCCACAGTGACATATGAATGAGCCGAGCAGCATAAGCTGCGACCCCACACCCCCAAAGAGACGACCTCAGTGTGGAAGGCTATTGACTTTGCCGGACTCAGATGGTGAACTGGTCTGTGCGCACCCCATTGTCTGTTCGCCGATTCGTGCTGTTCTTGCTTACGCGTACTCAACACTCTGCGCGCAGAATATCGAAACCAACCTTTCCAAAAGCCGTAGGCGCCGGGAGCCAGCTGTAGACGAGGGTCTGGTGATGCTTCAAACTACCGGATCATCATAAGCATCCGTCTCCCTCTTGCCTTCTCGATTTTAAGAATCGAGAAAGTGTGTGTCTCATGTCCTCTACTACAGCAACTATTTATTGCTACCACCACCACCAAAACCACGACTACTGCTACTGCTACTGCTACTGCTACTGCTACTGCTACTGCTACTGCTACTGCTACTGCTACTACTACTACTACTACTACTACTACTACTACTAACTACTGCTAACTACTGCTGTTACGATGACGACTACTATTACTACGACGACGACGACGACGAACACTTTGCCAGCTGTTGTCACGAATCGTCACTTGCCATGTGGACCTGGGCTTTTGTCTGATGTTCTGAGGCCCCAACTGGTATCCAGGACCGTCCAACGCCTACACAGAGTGCAAACCATTGTCAAATTGCATTCGTAGGCGAGGCAGCCATGCGCTTGAGTGGGGCCCTGTACTTGCCGAACTGAAGAATTTCAGCTTCCAGCCCAGAACCGTCTTCGGGACTCCACTGACTCCACCACAGGTCCAACACCATAAGTCAGAAAAAATACTTCACGGCCAGCCGATGTCTTCAAGCTTTAAGATCTTTCACTGAATGTTAAGAGCGAACGCTTTCTGATTCATGACCTGGTGGTGATTCGGGGCTGTGGTTGCGATGATGTTGACGTCTCGATGAAGATCCCGAGCCTGACCATCATCTGCACAGGCAAAGGCTAAACCTTGCACCGGACGCATGCAAAGCCTGAACATTCAAACCCAGACTCCCAGCCCTAGGTCAGAGTGGTATCCACTTGCCGCGAACTTGAAACATGCCGGATTTGCGACCTTCGACCCTCTGAGCCTCTGCTATTTCCCTTTCAAATTCCGTGCAGAGTTGCTGGCATTGGCTCTGCTCGTGTTCATAGAGGGCAGAGAGCAATTGCACGCCAGACCAGAGGACTCGTTTGCGTTACATGACGACGGACATGTCCCCATGTGTGTACATATATATATATATACAGAGAGAGAGAGAGAGACAGAGTCTATACATACCCAACTACACACACATACAGATGCATATGTATCTGTACATGTATGTGCATGTGCATATGAGTACATGTGTTTTTGTCGTGCAAATGTGCAGATGTGCAGGTGCACATACGCGCGCGTACAAACAACATGCCTAACACGCGTACATACATTCATGCATGCATGCACGCATGCATATCTGTATGTATGTACGTAGGTACATAAGTAGGCCTGTGGGTATGTAGGTATGTAACTAGATAGATATGTATGTGCATGTGTATGCATGTCGACAGGTAAGCAGGCAGCCAAGAGGCAGGTAGGTAGGCACGCCGGCAGGTATGCAAAAAAAGAAACAGACACAGAGAGAGAGAGAGAGACAGAGAGAAAGAGAGAGAGAAAGAGAGAAACCACTGAGCGGGAGATGGAACAAAATGCATGCGCATGGGCATATACGCATACCTTTGCGTATGCGTTTGAGTATGCACATGCCTATGGGCATGTGTATGTGTATATATGTATATGCATGCATATGCAATATATATATATATATATATATGTGTGTGTGTGTGTGTGTCTGTGTATGTATGCAACTGCATATGCACAAGATTCAGAATATACACATACACACATATATTAATGTGCACGTGCATTAAACAGGCATTTACATACGTACGTAACTTCAGTTCCACGCTGCAATGTCCGATCACTGCAATCGACGTTGCGATAACAGGCTTGTTTCTGACGCCGGCATTAGGCTGTGCGTTCCACACACACACACACACCCTCAGGGCAGAACTTTCAAGATCTAAATTGCAGGAAGACCTCGCTGCACACACCATCGCACACCCAAAAGGGCGAATCCTTCTGCATCAGGCGTCTCTGATGCAAAGGAAGACTTTGGAATTCGTATGCAAAAAGAATGCGATTAAGAAGGCACAAGAAGAAAACACACACATGTGCAAAGGCGCGTGCATGTACGTATGCACGCACCTATGTACGTACGTACGCACGTATGTATGCATGCATGTATGTATGTATTTGCCAACAGAGACGCCAAACGAAGAGCCTACAGGGACCACCTGAACTCCACAACAAGGCCGCATCCCACAAACACACACCGCAACACCCCATGACAAAATCTTGGTCGAAAGCATACCCCGCGCCGCGTTGTGGACGCAGCAAAGTGTCACATCCAGTGCTCCGTAGTAGTGCTTTACACTTTTTGGGGAAATACCTGTTGTGAGCGCGCATGTGTGTGTATACATACATATGTATATATACAATCTATAATGTCTACAATTTACATAGACATATATGACAGGACACATTGCCAGACTCTGGACCCTCATGTGCCTTCAGGTCGTAGGACTGCCAAACTCCCTCTCGTGGATCCAGGCACTCCAGCGTCGTGAGCTTGCGCTTTCCTTGGACTCCAGGAGCCCAAGTGGGCATCGGAATAATCATGCTTATTAGTTATCAAAAACTACTGTCATTGTCATGAATGTAGGCATCGGCTTAACATAGGTCTTAGCTTGCTGGAATGTTGAAAGCCGGTCCCCAGCATCCCAAGCTCGAAAACCATCTTCGCTCAGATAGGAAAACCCATCCTCCAACAGTCACCGGGCTCTGGCCCAGTTTAGAAGCGACTGGAGCCAGGATCCGGGGTCTTTTTGGGCAAAGCCAAGCACCCGAAGGAGAATCCTTCCAGGCTATTGGGGCTGCCGGGGGTGGGGCAGTGTCGACTTTCCGAGAATCGTTTGGGTGGCTTTGGCATTTGATGTGGGTAAGCCCTATGGTTCAAGATGCTATCTTGCAACTTGCAACCAGGAGCCCCACGCTTCTGCCAAAGCATCATCATCAACAATGATGCTACCAGTATCACTATTACGACGACTATGAGTATGACATATAATCAATACTATTATTGCTACTACTACCACTACCACTGATGCGAGTGCTGCCCATAGCACTGCCCCACCACCACCACGAAGCTTCTGCATGCGCAGTAGCAATTGTATGGCTTCTACAATGACTCTACAAAAGCCCTGTGCCCTCAGAAGTGCAAATCGAGCCGCTAAAATGATGGCTGCCTCCGACCTGGAGATGCCACAGAAGATCGGCAGATCCCTACTGACGCTTATGCTGGCTGAAGAGTGAGTTTGATGGTCTATCCTAAAACATGACCTACCCGATCAAGCGCAGGATAAGTTCCACTTACCTTTTCGTTCCATCGTCTTCGTAGTTCCCTTCTGCCATAGGCATGGGTCTCTACTACAGCAAGCACGCGCCGCACCAGTGGAGTTGAGAACCGATGTTGTGGCAAAGGGCAAGGTGATTCTGAACTCTTGTCAGTCAGCAAGTCTGCGTGACGCGAAATTGCGAGTGCTAGGGCCCACGGGGTCTACAATGCTCCTGCTGCTTATCTTGGTTGTTACGCCCTCGCGACAGCCCTTCAAAAAGCTGGCACACACACCAGCCTTTTAAGGGTATCTCAGCAGCCTGCAAGAACTCCTAATTAAGTCAGAGCTGCGGGTCAATCACTGTCCTAAGTGTGGAGAATGAGCCGATCCAGCAGCACGGGTAAGAGTTCCAGGCACAAGCAGAGCATCTGACCCAGCAATACAGAAAAATACCAAACAAGTTCCTGTCAATTTGGTTCAAGGCTGCTTGCCTCAACTCCTCCGATTTCCACATCCCAAGCCCAACTCTCAAGCAGTGTCTTCCTTCAGAGCCCAGCGACGACAACCACTCTGCCATCATGCCACACGGCACTTGCACCATATCGGCGTTCCCTTGCAGGCAAAGGTTGGACAAAAAAGAGACACAGACACACACACACACAGACACACACCGAAGAACAGAGGAAGAACGGGGAACCCTTTCCCTCGAGACCCTAGTCTAAGTCCTGTTGTGGAACCGGATGATGGGTCCAGGCCTGAGCTCAGGACCAGTACGCCAACTTCCAACTTCAGCGTCCCAGATTTCCACCGAACTACTCCGACCTGTCTCGCCACCACCCAGCACCTTGCACTGCCAGCGCTGTTTTCAGATATGATACCGCGCGTTGGACTCTGAGAACACCGATTCTGACTTACTCTGGGTACATGTAAACAGTCTGTGCATTCGCAGGCAACAAGAAAAGAAGACGGGTTTGCCAGACCTCTGTAGTTCCAGTGTCGAGGTAGCAGCTCTGCCTAAAGCTTGACACAGCCGTTTGCTAAGATTGATACCTGCGATACAAACTCCCGTGTCAGTCTCAGCTGAATTAGTGCTCGTCGCTTTGGCAGGAAGAGCCCTTAACTTCAAGACTGAATCTCGAACAATAGCGCACTCTCCAATGCGGCCCACCCCTCCCGGCCCATCTGGCACCCAAAATTCTGAGCCGATGGTGGTAGCCGCTGCATATTCTCCTTGCGGGGAACAGAATCAGCACGAGGCCCTTATCTGATACTGTCGCTACTACTGACATAGTCACAGTGACCGCCATGCCCTGGCCATCATTACTGATAGCAGTATCTGCACATACAAAGTTAGTTGACTGTCACACTCGTCCCACGAACTGGAGGTAGTAGGAGAGGGAGCAATACGAAGGAGGGGGAGGAGGAGAACCAGAAGTACTCGTAGTAGTACTAGCAGCAGTAGCAGCAGCAGCAGGAGTAGTAGTAGTAGTAGTAGTAGTAGTAGTAGTAGTAGGCGCGCCCCCTACCAACCACCTCTCCTAAACACTGGTTTGGAGCACATTGATTTTACTCGGTATTTACAGTACTTTCGTGATGTCGTAGTCCAATACCAACCACTGCTGTTGAGGGGTGGCTGGAGGTGGGAGGGACATGATGAGTACTTTTAAGAGCACAGCCGAGCACAGCCAGTGAACTCGATATTTACGGTACTGTACTTTCGTCATGTAGTAGTTCAACACCAACGATGATGATGATGATGATGGGTTTAAGCGCCAGGTAGTTGGTAGAGGGGTGGCTAGCATTAGCAGCAGCTGCAGCAGCAAGTCGAAGTGGAAGTCGAAGTCGAAATTGAAGAAGTGGTAGTGGCAGTAGCAGTAGCAGTAGCAGTAGCAGTAGCGGTAGCGGTAGCGGTAGCGGTAGCGGTAGAAGCAGTACCAGTAGTACTACTACTAGTAGTGGTGGTAGTAGTAGTAGTAGTAGTAATAGTAGTAGCAGTAGTAGTAGTAGTAGTAGTTGTTGTTGTTGTTGTCGTTGTAGTAGTAGCAGTTGTCGCCATCGTCGTCGTCTAGTACTAGTAGTTGTGGTGGTGGTGGTGGTGGTGGTGGTGGTGCTAATGGTAGTGGCATGTGGTAGTGCTATGACAAGACACCCCCGATGCCAATTGCGAGAAGCTCCTTCCCGACTACTTCACGGGTTTTCTCAGTTCTTAGACGAAGATGGCTGTGTCTTGTGGCCGATGCTGTTGATGCCTCGTAACTCCGCATCAAAAACAATCTCGCGGGACAGCTTCGTGGAGGGTGAGTGCGCGGGGGACCCACAGGGCCAACAACGCCTACCTCGCCCCTTTTCGATATCTGGTTTAGGGCTCATATGTTTTGTTGCTCTCTGATACTGGCAGCTCGTGTTGCACTGCTTCCCCAGCTTGAGGGTTCAAACCCCGCAAGTGCCCACGCCCCAGAACATACAATTGCCACCAGAAGACCTTGATTTTAACTTAAATCCCTCAAAGTCTCTCGGGTTCAGGGCTTTTAGGGTTTAGGGTTCAGGGCTTCCCCTCAAGCCGAAACACTTTCCCCAGCGCTCTGCACTGCGAGGTCGGCATCTGGGCTATTTTGAGATCCCGGGGGGCGAGGTGCCCTCAGCAGAGCTGAAGGCTCTTAGGATCCGGCACCCGAAAGCCTGTAATGCAGGGGCTCAAATAATTACCAATACTATTTGGGGGGTTCCTTATATTTATAACTATAGTATAATATACCCCACAATCCTCCTCTAATTGTTAGGGCCGTTATACTAGCCGTAAACCATAGGCTAAGACCCAGGTCTAAAATTACGCGATACTGCACTGCAAAACCCTGTTCTAACGAATCCGGGTTTAGGGTTTAAGGTTGCCCTCCAAAACCCTAAACCCTAAACCATAACACCCGAAACCCTAAACCCTAAACCCTCCATATGGAGCCCGAAGCCTGGCAGCCGGAGCTTGGAATGTGCTGAACCTCGAGACCCGAACTTGAACTTCAATCCTTAATAGATAAGGTTCTCATTTAGGGTTTAGGGTTTAGGGTGTGCATTTAGGGTTTAAGGTTTAGGGTTTAGGGTTTAGGGTAGCTATCTTTCCGTTTAACATGTTCTGCTTAGACCCGTAGACAATTGTGTTTCATTACACCACGGTAAGGATGACCTCCTAAACAGACTCACAGACTGCCGGAACAACTCTACTTCAGGCGACCATTCCGTTTATCATGTATATTGATATTGACTGTTGTTGTTTTTGCTGCTGCTGCGGCTGCTGCTGTTGTTGTTGGTGCTGGTGCTGGTGCTGGTGCTGGTGCTGGTGCTGGTGCTGGTGCTGGTGCTGGTGGCGTCGGTTGTTGAGACTGCTCTGGTAGTGTCACGTGAAAGGAGCAGGGGATCTCGTAGGTAGATCCGGTTGCAGGTAGGGCTGTAGTAACGGATGACCGGATAACCCTTTCTGGTGTACTTCTCGCCTACGGACTGAGTCCCTTGAGCTTGGAAGCAGAATCGCCAAATCCTGAGCCAGGAAACTCGAAACAAAATCCCACAGTCTCAAACCCTAAACGCTAAACCCTAACCCACCCCCCCAACCTTTTACATAACATCTCCAATGCGCAGGGTGGTGCTTTCCGCGAGTCTCTTCGTCGCATTCCTCGTGGCCACACAGCTGTCTGCAACCGGCCTGAAAACTGCGTGGCACGCTGTAGCCGCTACTGTATATGGGTTTTTAGACCCTTTTTTTTTTGCGTTGATGTATGGTCTTAGGCTATAGGGCTTTACCCGGTTTATTGAGGGCTTATTGGAGCTCGTCAGTGTTTTGTATGTGGGGCTTCTTAGGATTAGAGGTTAGTAAACTCTAGTAAACCTTGCTTTTTCCCTTGTTGGGAACCCTTGACGCCATGTAAACTTTCCATATTTCGGCTCTTCTTATAGACTTCTCGGACGTATCTATTTCGGGGTGTAGAGCCTGAACCCTGAAGCCTAAAACTGGTCCATGATGTAGAGTTTAGGGTTTCGGGTGGTTTGGGGTCGAGGGTTCAGGTTTTAGGGTCGAGGGTTTCGGGGAGCGCATCACGGAAACACGGTTTAGGGTTTGGGGGTTTTGTGGAATCTACTGGCAACTGCAAGCGCATTGGCGGTCAGGACCTTTACACCCTAAACCCTAAACCTTGAGCTCCAGCACTTGAAACCCAAAACCGTATTCTCGAGCCCCAGACTACTTGAACCCAAATCTCTACACTGTAGGGGCCTTAGAATAATTACCTATACTATTCTGGGGGTTCCTTTATAATACTTGGCTTAACAATTACCTATACTTGCTCATGGTATTGTTCCTAAGTGTGGTTTCTTTGTCTTAGATATTTATCCTATAGAGGCAGTTCAGTTCAGCACCTGTTTATACTCCAATTGGAACAGGAATTGGGGACCAGCCCGGATGCTCAAGAGTTGAATCAGCAGCTTGTTGCTACTTGTTGCTGGCACAACCTGCAAGCGCGGCAAGTCAAAAATACCATTTAGGGTTTAGGGTTTAGGGTTTAGGGTTTAGGGTTTAGGAAGTCCTGCGATGCCTCATGGATGAGCGCAAGAAAGGAAGCCGCGCGGAGAGTCCTCGACGACGTTAGGTGCAGAGGTGAAAAGATGCATCAGCCAAGAAGGCTCTCGCAGAGACCTTGCAGTCCGGACTCAAGTGCCACCAAAGTCGAGTTGTTTAGGGTGTGGTGTCCTTGGTTTAGGGTTTAATTCCCTAAACCCTAAACCCTAAACCCTAAACATCCCTAAACCCTAAACCCTAAACCCCAAAAAACCTACACCCAATTAGGGTTTAGGGATTCGGACTTGGGAAAATCCAAGAGGCCGAAGCCTCCGAAGGCCCAAAAGGTGTTGACAGCGGAGGAAAGCGTGGTCAATGATTTGGGTAGTTGCTTTGGGTTTAGGGTTTAGGGTTTAGGGGTTTAGGGTTTAGGGATGGGTAGTTGTCAAAATTATGGTCCCTTTTGGGGTACACTAAACATTAGGTGCCGTATTATAATAAGGACCCAGAAAGGGACCATAATTTTGACAA